AAACAAAACAAAACAAAACAAAACAGTTAGGGATCTAAAAACCCAAGTATTAGGAATGCTAATCTTGGGCACCCTCTGTTCAGCACATGTACAACTCCTGTGTTTCTGCTGCAGTTGGGATTTGGGATTTTCAGTGTCCACCAAAGGCTCATCTGTTAAAGATTTGCTCCTCAGCTTGGGACTACTGGAATGTGGTGGAACCTTTAAAAGTTGGGCCTCAAACAGAGTGTCAGGTGGCCTGTGCCTGTCATCCCAGCACTTGGGAGGCTGAGGCAGGAGGATCACAGTGAGTTCAAGGCCAGCCTATGTTATACAGTTAGTTTAAGGTCAGCCTGAACTACATAGCAAGACCCTATCCTAAAAAACAGAAACAAAACACAATACAAAAAAAGTTGGGCGCAGTCTTAGGCCATGGAAGGTGTGCCTTTGAAAGAATCCCAGCCCCTTCCTGTTTTTCTTTCTCTTCCAGAGGCTATAAGGGGAGTAGGGTGCGTCTACCACCTGCTCTCACCAGGATGTGCTGTCTCAGAACAGCCCTGCCCAGTCTGAAACCTCCTACAGTAGACCATGAGCCAAAGTAAATCTTTCCTCTTTTTAGGTTGTTTATCTCAGGTATTTTGATTATAGTAACACAGCCTCTCTTCGGTACCTCCTTGTAGCCAGGTCCAACAACATTGCTTTAGGCACGTGTCTGTGCCTGTTAAATGTCTAGAGGGGCCAGACAGGTGGTGAATACCTGTAAACCAAGTTACTTGGGAGGGTGAGAGGCAGGAGGATCACAAGTTCAAAGGTAGCCTGGGCAATTTAGTGAGATCCTGTCTCAAAACAATGTTAAGCGCTAGGTATGCAGTTTTGTGGTAGAGTACTTGCCTAGCATGTACAACAAGGCCCTGGGTTCCAATCCAGGACTGAAAAAGGAAAGTCTAGAGAACGGGTAAAACGATTATTATTAGCAAGTCCACACAGCTGAAAACCTGGTTTCAGGATTCAGAGGCTGAAACGAAGCGTGAAAGTTAATGATAGCCCCCGGATTCACTGGTTTACAAAATAAATTGCAAAGTGAGGATGAGGTTTTGAACATAAATTTAAAATGTTATACAGTTGTCAGTCAGGTATGGTGCTGCACACTTGCAATCCTAGCACTTTGGGAGGCTGAGGAGGATCTCATGGTCAAGCCCAGCCTGGGCAACTTAAGAGATTTATTGCGACCCTGTCTCAAAATAGATAAAAAGGGCCAGGCATGTAGCTCAGTCCAAAGGCCCTGGGTTCAATCCCTGAGACTGCAAAATAAAAGTCATGTAGCTGTCCATCACACCATAGTGTGAATATATTTAACACCATTGAACTGTACACTTAAAAATTGTAACTTTTAGGTGTTTTTAACCACAATTATTAAAGAAAAAGGGTGTACATTTCAAATCACATTCAGGCACGTATCCTGTCTAGAATTGTTACCTAGGTTTTTTGGTTTGATTTTTCCTTTGTTTTTGAGACAGGATCTTGCTATGCAGGTCAGGCTGGCCTTGAACTCACTATGTAGCCCAGGTTGGCCTTCAACTTGTGGTGATCCTCCTGCCTCAGCCTCCTGAGTGCTGAGATTATAAGCATGTGCCAGAAGCCTGGCTGTAGGTTACTGCTAAGTACATCGTCTTTGAATTGGATGGCAAGACTGGTCCGCACAGCTTGTTTCTCTCCTTCCATTCTGCAGCTTTGGGAAGAAACTAGTGTCTGTGAATATAGAATAAATCCAGAAATAAAGTGCCAGGAGGAAGTTAGATAATCTGGGCAAGTCTGGGTTTTAAACCCATGAAGAAGCCAAAAATAAAAATGACAACAGTAAAAGCTGAGAAAAATGCTAATAGTAAAAGCTCAGAACACATTCCTCTAGATTTGACATTAAATGACTTAATTCCTGATCCCCTTCCTTTTCTAAAAGTGAATACTTTTATAATTGACCTTATAAAAATCACCCAGTTCACTCATCTTCTGTTCTCAAATATTTGCCACTGTTAAGCTGGTGAGGACTGAAGAGTGTTAGATTCCTTAAAGTTTAATAATGACCTACAATTCCATTTTAAATAAACATTAAAAAATATTTAGAATCTCAATGTACCCCCAGAGTAAATGTTAGTCCAGTAAAAATGCCCACAGAATTTTTAGACCAGGCACTACAATTTGTGTCACCCAAAAGTTCCTGTGTTGAAAACTTCCATCTCCAAATTTCTACCTGGATGGTGCGTGGAGATGGGCTCCATGCTCTGATTTGTGGCTGTACAAGAGGAAGAGACCTGAGCTGGGATGGTTCCCCTTGTGTATGTGACGCCTTCACCACATTATGACGCAGGAAGAGGCCTCACCAGCTTCATCTCCTTCGATTTTGGCCTCCCGGGGCTTCAGAACAGTGAAAGATAAACCTCTATTCTGTATCTATTTCCCAGTCTGTGGTATTATGTTACAGCAGCAGAAAATGGACTAAGACACCAGGCCAGCTAATTCTTACACTCACAGGAAAAATGAAAGTAAAAGTAGTTAGGACAATTATGTAAAGTAAATGGCAACTGCATTAAATGGCTTTAAAAATTTTTAGTTATGAAAGCAGTATGACAGTGATGCTGAAACATTAGTGAGTTAGAATGGAAGGTTGAGAAACAGACATAAATACATTTGCAAATTATTTCACTCAGTAACATTTTTTGAGAGGTTTTTACCAAGCACTAGGAATGTAGAAGTGAAAAATACACAGACCTTGTCCTCAGGAAGCTAGCTAGCATTCTCACGTAACAATACATTTCAAACTCGTGGCGAAAAAGACTGAAAAACTCAGCTGTTCATCTACTTGACTATTTTGGGGAGTAGGAGAGCACACAGGGAGGGGAGTCCTGACCCACACTTACAGGGAGCTACGATTGAACTTAAAAAAACCCAGCAATTTCTATATTTATTTTATAGAAGTTTTAAAAAGGCACATGAAAGAATTAAAAAGTAAATTTCAAGGCATTTATGTTTTAGTAAACTTGGTGCAGGGAAGGCTTTTCTATGAAAAAAGTAAAACCACAGGGAGTATAAAACAAAAAATTGTTCATTTTGATTCTATTAAAAGTTTTAATTGCACCCAGGTATGGTAGCACATGCTTGCAACCCCAGCATCTGAGCAGCTAAGGCAGGAGAATTGAGCATTCAAGCCATCCTAGACATACTGAAAACCTGTCTTTAAAAAAATTTTTTTAAAAAATATGATATACATAATTTCATAAAATATAAAAATGCACATAAATCAATTAGGGGCAAATATTTTCATACATGATCCAAAACATTAATATTCCTAACATACATTTACTTCTTACAAGTGAATAGAAAAATTGAACACAGTAGAAAAAATAAATCATTGGTTTATGAACAAAGATGGTCTACAGAGCTTTTTCTTTCTTTTTCTTTAGACAGGGTCTTGCTATGTAGTCTAGGCTGGCCTCGAACTGGTGGCAATCCTCCTGTTTCAGCTTCCTGAGTGGAGGGATTACAGATGTGCAGCACCATGCCAGGTTCATAATTATTAACCAAAGAAGTAAAAATTAAAATGTGATGTGTTCATTTATCTATTGGCAAAGATGAAAAGGTCCGTTGGTGAAGAAAAATACTATACACTACTAGTAGGCCCAGAGACAGAAAAAACTTTGTAGAAGGTGTTACAATAATTATCAAATTGTAAATGAGCAGACTTTTTGCTGATATGGAAAGATAACAAGATAAGTAAGGTAGTAATAATTTACAACTGTCTTTAAATTATAAATTATATTTTATACTAGTGTTGCCCAAACCGTTTTCATAGGCAAAATAATTTTTAGCATGCATCCCAAAATGTTTATTCATAAATGACATACAAATGCTACTAAAGTGAAATTTGTATTATAACACATCCTCCCCTCAAAAAAGAGTGCAAGAAAAAATTATCTAAATTTGTTGGCAACAAATTTGGCCTGAACTGACATGAAGTTATTAAAAGTCTTTATCCTGTTCAGTGTGAAATTTGAATATTTATGCATTTTTGTTGTGTCTGACTTTGGATGCTGCCTCAGATGCAAAGAAAGGTACTGGGTAGTTTGCAGAGTAGCACTCCTGAATGTGAACAGGAAAACTTCCAAATTCTGAAAGCCAACAGACCTCAAGTATACAGGACTGTGGGCCTGCATAACCTTCCCCTGAAAACTGGCAAGTAGCAGGTGCTAATAAGTTACTTGTTCAGTGAGTAGACTCTGATTCATCCTCATGACCATCAGCTGTTTGCCTGTGAAGCCTATGAAAGTGTTGAAGCTTTATTCCGTGCTTCTCAGGCCACAGACAGCCATTTAATACTTCTGCCTGTCTTTTATAGTTGTTTGTTTTGTGTAGCCTTGGGCTGGTGGTGTCAGCTCTAAATTCATGTGATTATTAGTATCTTTACCTAAAAGCAGTTGATTTTACGTTTTTCTGAAGCATGAGGAGCAAATAACCAAAGTTGCATAAATTAACTGGTTCTGAATGAAGTCTTCTGGTCTTCACATTTTCAGTGCACCCTTTGTGTAACTATTTTGGCTGCTTAATGGGCCTACTTCCTGATCATAATGTGTGGAACAAAGAAGTAGCCACATGACCAGAAGGTGTTACTTTACTATAAGCATGCATAAGGGGGTCTGGGAAATTAGAACTAAATCTTGAAATTAAGTTCAGAAACATCGGTCAGGCGTGCTGGTGCACACCTGTAATACCAGTACACAAGAGGCTAAGGTAAGGGGATCGCAGCGAATTTGAGGCCACCCTGGGCTTCATAATGAACTCAAGGCCAACCTGAACTACACAGTGAGACCATGTCTCAAAAAAAAAAAAAAAAAAAAAAATCAGAAACGTAAGTTTGGCAGATCAGCTCTTAAAAAATGGAAGGGAAAACGATATCAGCAGCTTAACAATGTGTCTTAACTTCCAGGCAAAAAAGAAAAGATTTTAAACCAAATGCCACTTTAAAAGATTTAGACTCAGTAACTCCTACGTGGCTAAAATGAATACATTTTTGTACGTACTGACGGCTAAACGCATTAGGGAAAGCCACAGAGTTCCTCCACCCCGGAAGCACAGTGAGGATGCCTGGGAGCAAGGTGGGATTACAAGTGCGGATTTGAATACCAGAGTGAGAGCTGGGAATCCAGAGAGCAGGATCGAGAGGCCGGAGACAGCGCCCCGAACAGCAGAACAAAGTAGCGATGGGTAACTGTGAACGCGCTCCCCTATCACGCTCTGCAGGCGGGAGGGTGAGGACAAGGCTGAAAGGAGGCGAGGATGTTGGGGTATCCGCGGGAGGAAGGAGTAGGAAGAATCGACTTGGAGAAAAGGCTGTAGGAGAATTTGGCCCAGGTGGGAGATCTAGAGACCAAGTATGAAAAATAAGCGTGGGTGTCAACGGGGAGATGCAAAGACTGCAGGGTCCTAAAGGGTTGGCCCAGCGGGGACGCATCTAGTCTCCGGCCCAGCGCTGGGGGAGGCGCGGCGGGACCTGCCACGTTCCTACCCGTCCGCGAGCGTCCGGCCGCAGGTCCTGGAAGTCGGAGCCGTAGATAGCCTCCAGAGCCTGCAGCTCGTGGTCCTGCCGCTGCGGGTAGCTCTCCTGCGGCTCGTCCCGGCTGCGTCCCGGCGCCCCACGACCACCAGCCATGGCCGTGCGGCGGCCAGGACAGGCAGCCAGGGCTGGCGGCCTGGTAGCCGCGGCGATAGGGCCCAGGGTGGCTCCGGGGCGGGATTCCGGGGCGTGGGCGTGGCTTCGGGCGGGGTCTAGCGCTGGAGACCCTGTTAGCGACCCTGGCCCATTCAGGGGGCGGGGCTCCGCATAGAGGGCGGGACTCGACGCCGGTGGCGAGGTTCCGAGCGGGCCCTGGCCCATGGGCGGGGCTCCACGCCGTGGGCAGGATTGGGTTTCCGCCCGGCTCCAGGAACAGCTTTACTGGCTGTGAGGAACAGCATAGGACCAGGAAGGAAGCGAGAAACCCTTGCTTACATGCTGCAGGGTGGGGAACGGAATCAGAAGGACTGCACAGACCGGGAAGAACACACCATGCCGATTGGAATGATAACACCAAATTTCACAGAAGTGCGGGTTAGATGTCCTGTATACTGGCGTGGCTACTGAGCAAACGCCTCAAGAACAGACTTTGATGGGTTCTCCACTCACCGTCTCACCTTGAACAAGGCTACTGGGAATGAAAACTGAAAACACTACTCCTGAGTTCAGCACCCCTTTAGCCCTAGATTCAGCATACCCAGGCTTGCTCTGTACTCGTTACAAATTCCCTGTCTTTGAAGATCTCCGTTTCCACTTTGCAATTTCAACTGAAAAATGTCTTTCCACGCAGGTGCTCCGTTCCCATGAAAGGAAGTATGTTCCCCGCCCACGTCATTTAAATGCATGTTTAGGGGGTCTTTCTGTTTTCATCTTCCTACTAATGCTGCATATTGGTCCAGAGTTTAGTTTCCCCTGACAAGTTTTGCTCTGTCCACCTTTCTCGCTCCTTGGCTGTTTACTGCTTAATGGTTATTTATGAATCTTGCTGCCATCCATCCTCTCAGTTCTGGCCAGGTAACACAACTGCACTATCTTGACCAAGGCCGCTTTAAACCATCCTTCCTTCTACTGGAGACCTGTTCCCTTCCCAGTGATCCCAGACTAGGTAAACGGCACCACCCGGTAATTGTGTTCTGCATTCCCTTTCTCTGAACTCTCACATCTGGAAAGTCACCATTTCTTCAGTCTGCCCACTATGCTCCATCCCACTGCCGCTAGCTCGGTTCACGCCGCACCATCCGTTCCTGGGTTATGTCAGTGGTTCCCACCCAAGACTGTCTTCATTCTTACACTACAAGAAGCTATTCTTCGCCCTGTGGGGGAGCCATGCTTTAAATTGCAAATAGGCTCATATCCCTCCAATCCTTAAAATTCTTCGATTTCACCACTGATCTTTTTTTTTAAGTTAAAAACTCCAATTATGGTAAATTTCAGCACACATAAAAATAGATGAAATAGTATAAACAACTCATCACTCAGCTTCAACAAAATTATATTTTCCTATTTGTATTTCATCTATTCTCTCTGCTCATAGTATTTTTTTGTTTTGTTTTTGTTTGGGGGGGAGTGTGCCCTCTCTGAGGCTTTCCCATAGTATTTTAAAGAAAATTTCAAACATCTTTTCTTTTCTCCTTCAAATACTCACATATGTATCTCTAACAGAAAAGAACTTTTTACCTAACACAAAACCATCCTTGTAGAGTAAAAATGTAACGATTTCTATTTTTTGTGGGGAAGGAACAGAGCTAGGGATTGAAATCAGGGCCTTTAATATTTTCTGTTAGTCTGAAATTAGAATCCCTATTGAGTGCTGGACCTATAAAGGAGATAACTGAAACAATAAGCAAAATTTGAGGGGAGGGGTCTGTGGATTAGATGGCAGTGTTAAACCAATGCTAATGTCCTGATGTAAATTAATTGGCTTCTTTTTAATGTTAATCTTTTTGACAACCATGTTCTTCTTTACCTGAACTTTGCAGGACCTTCCTTTCAGGCAAAAGTTGAAACTTTTGTATCTTTTGTCCTCCAGGCTCATCTATATTGCTGCAAATGACAGCACCTGATTCTCACTGCAGATCTGCTAAAAGCAACCAGCAGTACCCAAGCAACAGCCGCCTGAACACTGGTCTGCCTTGAAATTTCCTCCACCAGCTCAATTAATCCATCACTGTCAATCACAGTCTCCCACAAAGTCTTAGGACATGAGCAAAAGGTAGACAAAGTTTTTGCCAGAGTATAACCTGCTTGGCCTCTAGTCAATGTGCCAACTGAGCCCTTGTCCCCAACTGACACCTCCTAAGCCTGGCCATCACTGTCTGAATTTCTATCAGTATTCTGGTATTTTGAATTCCAGCCAGAATCATCCATAAAATGCTCTTGCAATATTCTAGAGCATCTCTACCCTGCATCTCCAAAACTTTCCAAACTCCTCCCATAAGCCAGTTCCAAAGGTTTCTAAATGACATGATCTGGTACAGTCACAGCAGCAACCTTATTTCTGGTACTGATTTTCTGTATTAGTCACTTTCTTGATGCTGGGACAAAATACCTGGCAACCACAATTTAAGGCAGGGGAGGTTTATTTTGGCTTACCATTTTCAGAGGATTCAGTCCATGGTTGGTGGACTCTCAGGCAGAAACAATATGGTAGAGAGCATGGTCGAGAACAGCTATTCATGTCATGGTGACCAGGAAGCAAGAGGTGGGACAGGAACAATATACCCCTCCAGGTCATACCCCCAGTGATCTTCCTCCAGCCAGACCTTACCTCCTAACAGCCTGTTCAGCTACTGAGCTCATCAATGGATGAATCTGCTGATGAGTATAGTGTTCCTATGATCCAGTCACCTTCCAGACACATGAGATTGGGAGGCATTTTTTTTCTTTTCCTTTTTTCTTTTTTTGTGATGCTGGGGATTAAAACTGTTCTAGGAAAAAGCTAGACAATACTCATGAGAGACCAAGAATGGGAACAAATGAGGCTTTATTGCCAGCAGACGACAACCCAATATGAAATCAGGGAATGTCCACCCTGGGAGGACTTTGCTCTGAGTTTATATACCTTCTAGGTTTCCATAGTGACCACATTACCCAATTTTTGGGAATTTTACAAGAATGCCACATAGTTGTCACAAGGTTTACATTTCCTAGAAATTGCTGGTGAGGCAGATATTGTGGTTTAACATTTAGCTTACTCCTTAGTTTGTTCTTAACTGTTTCTTCCTCAGTTTTATGGCTTTGTTCTTTCTTTGTGGGTTTATGGTTAGCCAAGAGGGGAGGGGGTGAGAAGTGAGTTCATCTAAAGTTTAAGTGAGTTAAAGTGACTTCTAAAATGGAGTCAAGAAAAGAAAATAGCTGGTTGTGGTAGCACACACCTGTAATCCCAGCACTTGAGAGGCTGAGGCCAGATTTTTGTGAGTTCAAGGCCAGCCTGGGCTGCAAAGTGAGCTCAAGTCCAGCCTGAACTGCATAGCAAGACCCTATCTCAAAAAGAGTGGGGGAAAAAAAAAAAAAGAAAAGACAATGGAGTCTCTCTTGCTGTATCAAGCGCAGGGTCTTGTACATGCAACGTAAGAACTCTACCACTGAGCCACATCCCCACCCCGATTTTGGTCATTTTAAACCTAAACCATAAGAGATACTTTCACTGGGTATAGAATTCTGGTCAACTTTTCTTTCATTTCAGCACTTGAAATTTTTGTGCTCCTTTTTAATTTTTAAAAATTTTAGTTGATATATAATAAGTATATATCTGATATGGTTGATATATTGTTTCAACTTGAGAAGTTTAGAAGTTTAACTGAGCAATTCAGCTGAAAGCCAGTAAACATCCTCAACCTGTGCAACAGGAGGGCATGAAGATGTTGTGAATGCTATACCTGCCCTAGGGGGTGGTAGACTGGTTATAATATAAGAGAGGAAAAGAGGCTTGCTCTACCCTCCCCGCCTTTTGCTCCTGTTGCTTTTGCTGTCTTCTGCTGCCTTGAAGTGTTGCCCCTGTGCCATACCATTTTGCCTTGGAGCCAGCTGATTATGGACTGAAACCTCCACAAACTGTGAGCTAAATAAACCTTTCCTTCCTTAATTTTGGGTATCAGATATTTTGTCTCAGCAACCAGAGAAAAGTAACTAAGACAATATTTTAGAAGTACAATATGATATTTCAATGTGTATATATTGTGTATAATCAGGGTAATTGGCATATCTGCCACTTCAAGTATTTATTTTTTGTGTGTGTTGAGAGCATTCACCTAGGTTGATTTCATATGTTGGGTATTATGAATAGTGCTGCAATAAACATATGTAAGTATCTTTTTACATGCTCATTTCATTTCCTTTGGATATATACCCAGTAGTGGGATTCCTGACTAATATAGTAGTTTTATTTATAGTTTTTTTTTTTTTTTTTTTTAACAATCTCCATTTTTCATAATGGTTGTTCTAAATTACATTCCTACCAACAGTGTATGAGAGTTCCCCTTACTTGGTATCCTCACCAGCATTTTTTTTTTTTTGTCTTTTTGACACTAGCCATTCTAACTGAATAAGATGATTTTTTTTTGTGGTTTTGATTTACATTTTGCTGATAATGTTGAGCATATTTTCATATACTTGTTGCTGCCATTTCTTTCTGGTTTCAGTGAAAATTATGCTGTCATTCAACTTGTTTTTCCCTTATAGGTAATGTAATAATTTTCTTTGGCCATTTTTTTCTGTTTCTTAGTTTTTAGAAGTTTGATGATGTATCTTGGTGTGGTTTTCTTTTGGTTTCTTGTTTGGGGTTCATTCAGCTTCTTTAATCTCTAGGCTTATTATTAAGGTTATTATTTTGCCAAATATAGTAAGTTTTCAGCCATTACATCTTTGAATGTGTTTTCAGCCCTGCCTTCTATCCCTTTTCCTCTAGGCAAGTAAAAGGACTTGTTCTTGCAATGCCTAGAAGCAAGGGGTAGGAGAGGCAATGCTATTCCTTCTGCTCAAGAAAGCAATAAATAAAAATTATTTAGTGAATTTTGCATTACCTTGTCAAGATTTGTAGGCCCTTATACATTTATGTACACAAATTAGTCTTGCCCTTTAAATTCTGGAATACATTTATACTTTTATTCCAAAACTATGCCATTTCTTCCATATTAGACTATGAGCCATAGTATTTTGTAGTCATATATTTTACTGAAGAAGATAATACTGTCTTAATCATTTATTTCACTAGAATTGGTACTTGTTAACTTTTGACTCTTACTAAAAAGAAACCAGGCATGGAAGTGAATACTTATAACCTCAGGACTCTGTGAGGCTGTGATAGAAGGATCACAAGTTTGAGCCCAACTGGGCAACTTAGTGACTTAGGGACTTTTGTATCAAAACCAAAGTTAAAAAAGGCCGAGGAAGGAAAAATGAAACTAGTAGCATCCATCTCACCTCACCATCTTGATCTTTGTAATTATCCTAAGTTCTATTTCATCTCTTCTTTCTCTACTCAGCACCCTTCTTGATTTTCAATAAATTTCTAATAATGTCATAGCTGAGAATTCTTCTGAACACAAGAGAAAGATAATTGTGTTATCACATATAGAACCTTTCATACTTGTTGGAAAAGTACTTGCTAGTAGCAGAAAAGGGAATAGTGTATTTTGAAGACCTACCATGTTAGCCAGATAAATATAAAAAAATAAATACAGGAAGAGATTTATTATAAAGAATTGGCTCATGCAATTGTGATGACTAACAAGCCCAAAGACTTAGAGCTAGTAAGCTGGAGACTTGGAAGAGCACATCAGGTATAGTTCCAACCCAAGCATAAAGGCCCAAGAATCAGGGAAATCAATGGTGGACTTCGTATTCAAAAGCCAGGAGGCCCAAGACCCAGGAAGAGCCAAAGGCAGGCAAAAGCCAGTGTCTCAGTTTAAAGGCAGTCTACCAAGAAGAATTCTCTCATACTCGGGCTTTTTGTTCTCTTCAGGATTTCAACTGATTGGATAAGGCCCACTAACAGAGTGAGGATAATGTGCTTTGTTCAGTCTTCTCATTCAAATGGTAATAATAATCTCAGCCAGAAACACCTAGAGTAATGTCTGACTAAGTCTCAGCACACAGTGACTAGTAAAATTGACACATAATGTTGACCATCATACTTATTTTCCCATGGTTATAAGAAGTAAAAATCCATAAGCAAATCTCAGTTATATGATTAATGTAGGAATAGGTGACTGAGGAAATCTGTAAAAATCTGTCATATTTCACAATATTCCTCATTGCCTTCCTAACACAAGGCCTTAGTGTGTTAAATGAGAGAACTACTGCACTTGAGGAAGAGTAATTCTATTAAGTATTGTGGTGACTGAAGGGGACAGAACTTTCCAGAGAAGTAAACCTACAGATTGAGTAGGCCCTCTGTAATGGTTGACACATTTTTGTGTCAACTTGAGAAGTTTAGAAACTTAACTAAGGGACTTAGCAGAGGGCCAAGGTTCTCATTTTGTAAACATCCTGAGCCTGTGCAAGCGGAGGACAGAGATATGGTATAGGTGTAAAGGACCTACCCCAGGGCAGGTAGCCTGCATACAATATAAGGGAGGAAAAGAGGCTTGCTCTCCCCCTTTTGCTCTTGTTGCTTTTGCTGTCTTCTGCCACCTTGAACTGTTGCCCCTGTGCCATGCCACCCTACCTTGGAGCCAGCTGATTATGGACTGAAACCTCTACAAACTGAGCTAAATAAGCCCCTCCTTCCTTAATTTTGGGTGTCAGGTATTTTGTCCTATCAACAAGAGAAAAGTAACCAAGAGTAACCTTCCTGGGTGTACAAACTGCCCACAACCTTTAACTCTCTCTTGCCCCATTCTGCATAGGAAGCCTATCACCAAGTTCTTTATTTTTCTAGGAAAATGGACATTCAGTGCTAAACAACTGTATTAGTCACAAAACCAATAGAATATACACAAATATATGAGTGTATTTATTATGGGTATTGGCTCATATAATTATGGAGGCTGAGAAGTTCCACAGTATCCTGTCTCAAAGCTGGAGAGCCAAGAAAGTCTGTGTGTAGGTCATTTTGAGGCCTAAAGCCTGAAGGTAGGAGAAAATAAATGTCCTATGTCAGGGAGAGAGAGAGAGAGAAAGTTCACCCTTCCTTTGTCTTTTTGTTCTATTTAGGTCCTCTGCAGACTGGATGACACCAATCTACAATGGCGAGGTTGGGTCTTTTTTACTCAGTCTCCTGATTCAAACACCTAATTTTTCCTGGAACAACCATAGAGACACATTCATATAGAGTCTCAAGTAAACACAAAAAATTAACCATTGTAATAACTAGCCTTAAGACTTTAGGAACACAAAGTATTTTAAGATGGGAGTATGTCTTCTTATAATATTCATTATGAGAGACAATATAAGGAAAAAATACTTGAAGAAGTATCATTTAAGGCCTAGTTAATATATATATATATAATATTCTATAATTTGACATTATATTAAATGCACACTATACAATGATATCGTAGGGGCTGGGGATTTAGCTCAGCGGCACAGCACCTGCCTGGCAAG